CTCCCACTTGTCTTTGTATAAATCTGGATGAAATCCACTTACAGACTTTCCACAGAATTGGAGTTGATCCTGCAGGCATTTAGCTTCACTTTAGCTCCATGATTTTTCTGATGGAAAGAACAGTTCAGGTGCAGACTGTGGGAGTAGAGCAAAATCATGTTCTCTATTACCTACACATCTCTAATTTCAAGCTCCAAAATTATTTGGCCCCCCACACGGTATCTGTTCCTGGAACTTATTATCTGCTTTGTTAAGTTCAGATGGCATTCAGATAAGGAGAATTTAATTAGGCATCTCAGTAATCATACATGCATACTTACTGCCTCAGCAGGGGGTGGCTTCTTCAAAACAAACCCCTTCACATTACCAAGGACAGCATGTTTTCCCTGACAGCTTTCACATTGTGTGTATGTATGTGTATGTCGCCTCCTTTTTCTCTGGAGTTCATATCACACAGTGTTTCCTCTTTGAAGATTTTCATGTTGTTTGGGAATATCCCTACATAGAAAAACTTCCTGATCTTATGTGTTCCTCTGAGAAAATGCTCATTTTACTCTGATGCTCCACTTTGAAGATGACCATAACATCAGAGGGGTGCCTCCAAACCAAAATGTTTCTCAAGCATGGGAGGATATTTCTCTAAGATTGTGGGGCATATGTGCAGATGACATTTCTTTGGGAATCTGCCCACTGCAGAGGTGTCCTCACTCAACTGTGCTGTTTTGCAGTTTACAGAGTTGTCATATTTTCCATCTGAAAATCCAGGCAGAAGAGCATGTTTACAATAGTTCCATTAGAAATAGCCTGAGAAAGTCTTCAGTGGGAGAGATCCAAAAGTAAGTGGGAAATGAGTTTCTGGCTTATACTGTTTTATATTTTTCCTATTTTCATATTTGAAGATCTGTTTCAAACCCTCTGTGGCAATTAAGAAGCTGATGTCCAATAGATGAACTGACTAAACACAAAAGTTTTACTCAAATTCTGCTGAACTTTGGAGTGATAAAGAAAAAAAAAAAAAGAATTGAAATCCAGATTCATCCCATACTTGAGAAAACAACCAAAATACAACCTTGCTGTAAACTTTCCTAACATTTGGAGTGCTTGAAATATGTATCTCAATTTGAGGCTGCCGTCAATATCTGGTCAAATGAGGAAATCAGTTGCATCATAAAATTCATGAAAGTGATAGTATAAACTTGAAACAACTTATTCAGGAGAAAATGGTTTGCAAAAGAAGCACAAGTGAAAACATTTAGATTTGGCTGAAGTAGATACAAGCTTGATCATTATATGTATACCATGCAAGTAAATAGCTTGAGGGTGAGTCTAAAGCCAATGTGAACCTTTCTGTGGAAAATATTCCTATGTGGGTATGGAAAATAGCCCACTTAAACTATACTTATACTGAATGTGTGCAAATAAAACCCGAATAAAGCACCCAAGTAGAAAGCATATTTCTTTAAAATTTCTGTGGGTATATTCTATGTTATTCTCGTGGTTTTAGGGCAGATGAGATAATACTGTATTTATATTAGTAGCTTGGAAGTAAACAGTATACAAAATATCTTCTTAAAACATACATTAAAAAATTACAGTGGAAGAAAAAGCACATGTAACCGAAGTTAGATTGGATCTATCAGACTGTTAGAATCTGTTGATTTAGTTTGCAGAGTAGGAGGCTCCGCTGGAATTACTGACTCTTGAATAAGTCAGCAAGATATTATTTGAAAGACACTGATTCGTGGAGAAGTAGATTAGTTTCACTTATGACTGTTTTTGGAGTTGCTTTGCTACCCATCAGCTAATATTCTGAGCAATGGCCACTTGGAGGAATAGGGCTGAAGTCAACATATACTGCATTTTGAGTGGTTATGTTCTTGCTTCCCCCTTCTCACGTTCCTCCTGTTCCCAGTACATGGCAGGACAAGATGAAACCTGGTGGAGTACATGCTGTCATGGCTCTGCTCTGTTTTTAGTGTCCCTTGTGCTATGTCTGTGGATATGGAAGTTTCTAGCTGTAATATACAGTAGCCTGAAGGGACAGAATGAACTTGTTTGTTTGCTCTAGTAGTGTCAGGGCCTTCCTAGAATTTACATGTGCCTCACATCTAATGAACTTGGTGCGAAATTGTTATGTAAAGGATCAGACCTCTCAAATGGACTTTGGAGCTGTGATTTTCCAGGTGATGTAGGTCTCACAAGGGACATACACAGCCTTAAAGAAATAACATTCTTGTGTTAACTGCAGCTCAATGCCGTCAGTCTCCAGTTTCATTCTCATTCGGTAACAAAACTAAACAATTGAATGATAAAAAAGGTTGACAGTGTATCTGAGCCTGCTCTCTGTTGAGTGATGACATCTCTACCAGAACTACGGTTTGCCTCTATGCTTTCAAAATCTCCTTGTCTTAATCTGTAACTTTAAAAAATATTCAGCACTACATAGTGCCAAAGGACGAACAGTACAGGTATTTCACACTAGTATCTGTTTGTTCTATTTACATTTTGTATCATCAGGTTTACAAAAGAGCTTAAATTTTTTACCAAGAACTAATTCCACATTGAAATCTTTAAAGTCTAGGTGTCTTCCTCAGACAAGCTGTATGGGAACTGTTAGGTCACAACCTGAAGCAATGATTGAGCACCTGGTGAAGGAGCATAGCCCTCCCTGGGAATGCTGGTGGAAGCAATTCACCTGTGTGATTAGAAGGGCAGACCCTTACATAATTTAAGGGCTGGCAGCCATAGAGAAACCTTCTTTATCTAGAGATCACCTCCATTGTAGTGTTTATTGAGTTATGGTCCTTGGAAAGGTGTAAGTAATTCCATCTTTACCATTATTTGCTATCAATTTGTGAGCTCTACCTTTCTTGGGTGATTTGGAGCTTGTTTAAAGCTATATCTACTGTTGCCTATCCTTACATAATCACATGGATGGTACCTTTCCAGAGAACTGGCAAAAAGACCAGGTAAAGTTTTCTGGCCTGTCCTAATTCATGAGCAAAGCTAAAACTCTCCCTAACATTCCTTTCAAATTCCTTTCCTTTAGTAATGTTGTGTTCATTACAAAGCAAAATATGGGATCAGTCAGAAACAAAAAAAGGAAGAACTTAAATATGAATTAATGAAAATAATAGCTCACAAGAAGAATTTAATAATCTGAACGAGGATGGCTGGTGCAGGACAGAAACCAGGAGGTCAGAAATGCAAAGCAGGCAGCTTTTGTGTTAGGCTTGCAAATAGAGGGTAGAAATGATGATCACACTTATAGGAGTAAAGAACGTTGTTTTTTTTTTTTTTTTTTTTCCTTTATAGCAATTTCTTCCCTCAAGCAGTGAGAACTATTTTTAAACAAACAAAATCTAGCCTATGCCCCTGAGATGTGCTTTCAGGTTTACAGTATCCTGTGGCAAACGCGTTCTATGGGTTGGCTGTGTGCTGTGCTTTCATTATTAAAGTATAGCTGTGATATATATGGTTCTTCTGCAATAAGATGGAATGGGCAAAAGGATCTTGAACCTTATGCTCACACTGACAGCTCTCCTCCACCCTGACAATGTATGGTAATTAAGACTGAAGGTTTAAACTTTTTCATGGATTGGTACACAGCATTTTCCATGCTGTTTTCTATTTCTTTATTTATAATTGTAAAGGTTCTCCTCATTTCTCTATTGCTGTTGAGTGCTCAGCTGACATTTCCATTGAACTAGCCATGAGAACTACTAGATCTCTTTTTGAGTGGTAATAGCTGATTTAGAAATCAGAACTGAGTGAGAGCAGTTAGGGTTCCTTTCTCCATGCGCATTACTTAGTATTTGTCTTTCATAAGCGGTCTTATGGTGTACCATGACCATCAACCCTACAAATTCTCTGGCAGAATTTCTGGATCTAACACTATCATGTTTGGAAAAGAAAGATTTTATTACTACTTCTTCATGTCTGTGGTGTGCTGTTCCTTATAATCTTTTTGGCCTGCTTTAATATGAGTTACCATTTGAATTGCTGAAGTTTATGATCTTTTCTATTTTCCTCATTGCTCCACATAAGCTCCAGTGTTTGAGGGATTTCTTTTTACCCCAATTAGCTGCCTTTACTGTATCATACAGCCATGCTGTCTTTTTTGTGTGGTCTTTTAATTCTTGGTTTCTGAGAGATTTTTTTTGGATACATAGTATGTGATTATTCTGAGACTTTAATAACATGTACATACATGGTATCTGCAATCTTTTATTCTTTTGGTTGCTCCTTTTAAATTCCATTTTAACAAGATTTCTCATTTTTATGTACTTCCCCTTTTTGAAGTTACAGTTTTTGGCTTTTCACTCCTATAGGAATGTAGACTTTAACTGCTTTATGGTCAATCTTGAAGAGTAATTGTACATTTTGAAGTAGGGTCCCATGCATTGCTTAGGCCTAAATAAAAAGTTGTCTTTCCCCTTATGGATTAGCTTGCCATTTGTTCCAGGAAGCAGTCATTTATGGTATCTTAAACTTTAGTCTTCTGCCACAGACCTAGCTGTGCATTTGCCCTGTAAGTATAACTGCAATGTTCTTGAAGGGCTTTCTGAGGAAACGGTGTACATTAAGGCTCACTAAAGCAGCACGAAGAGTGCTGTATGATGTATGAAGTTTTCTCTTGAGCATGTCCTGTCTTCATCAGGATGCTGCACAAGCCATATTCCTTCCCAGAGATATGGGCTATCACAACCCCTATCTCTTGATTTCAGTAAAATGGAATAGTTCAGTAACAATATGTGAATTGCTGAATTAATGACGCTCTTAGGAGTCTTAGAAAGCAAAGGTAAGCAGGTAAGCTCAGATATTTTGGCTCAAGCTGTTTGCTTGGTGTTATCTAACTCTGCTTTAGCACATTCAGCTTCCTGTATGTGTGTGTGTGTGTGTGTGTGTGTATATATATATATATCTTATAAAAATATACAATTACATATATGTGTACAATTTCAACACATCAAACTCTTCTCCCTCCCAGTAATTTCATTCTCCACAGATCAGCTCCTGAAGACCCTAGAAAAAAGGGTTTTTGGTGGATGGCACAGCCCTCAACCAACCTGCTCAGCTACAGCTGAGAGACAAGAGTCCGCTGGTTTCAACATCAAGTTGGCTAACTTTTACAGTGATGTGACTTGCCAATTGAAAACCATCAATGGCTTTGCCTAAATTAGAAAGTAAACCAGGAAGATGTTTCCTGTATGTGTAGCTGGTCAATGCATCCATACAGGTAAGAACTCTTTTTTTTTTTTTTTTTTTTTTTCCCAGAAAAATTATACATACCCAAATTGCGTGTGGGGAATGGTCCTTGGCCTACAAGATGCCCAAGGACCAGTTATTTTTTGGCAGATGTTCCTCCCTACTCAGTCAATATATAGGTTTACTGGCAGAAGCTAGCTTTGAAAGAGTGTAGCTTGCAAGGACTGAAAGTGGGCATGCAGTAGTTCTCTCCTCGCAGTTTACACAGAAGTCTATCCATTGTCCTGCTGTGTAAGCCAATGGCTGGTGTCTGTTAACAAATAATGCCTGAGCGTTTGTGTACCATTTCACGCACACTGTAGATACACAATCTATGTATGTATGTACCTCATGCACTGTTTCCTGTCTGTGGATTAACCCAGAATATTCTCAAATTTCCAGGATTTTTGAGATGAGTCTATGAAGTGCATGAAGTAGTTTCTCTACTACCTTAAATAGATCAACATTTTCCTGAAAAATGTACTAATCAAAATCAAAAGAACAGTGTTTTATTTTATCCTATATTATCTTCATATTAAATTTATGACTATAATACCGTGGGAAAGAATGTTTGTGTAACATGATGTAGAGCAGACATAACACACATTAGTCTAAACAAAACTGCACTGATAATATGTTGCTACTTATTTATGCTAAGAGTAGATATTAATTTTAGCGCTAAGCTGACAGTATGCATGTTTAGTATGCTTCACTGAAAGCACTTTTTTAATACACAAAAATATTAAATTTGCATATTATATAGGATTATTGTTTAGAAACTACTGCAAGATTTCAATTAAGCAGTTGTAAGAACATGGCATATCCAACTGAGCATCTGCAAAACAACAAAAGATGAAATTTTTCTGTTTGGATATGTTTGAACCTGTGAGGGTACCAGTTCTGTATAAACACTCCTGTATGAAATGCTATAATGGATAACAGTGCCTGAACAGAACTTTTCTAAAACTTGAATCCTTGCAAGAGGAAAGGTTCAGACTTGGGGGTCTAACATTTTTCTAGCAGCCCCAATCTAACCAGTGGTATAGACCACTGAGCTCACAGTTTCTTAGCAGTGACTTTGGACTCCTGCACTGAAACAAGCCTTAAAACAGGCTGTGTAGATATTTTATTTTAAAAGGGAATTATAGATACTACAGGTCCCCAAGGGACAATAGCTTCCAGCATAGGCATAATTTGGAAAGTGATAGATGAGTTTGTTTGGAATTCTTAACTTCATTTCACTTGATCTGCTCATATGTACACACCAAAATGCCTAGAGAAGTTCAGAGATTTAAACTGTGTCAAAGGTGTAGAAAACTATCAGAAAACTATCAAAAAACTATATATAGTAAGCAGAGAAATGTTTTCTACTATACCATGTACCTTGGAATAATGTATTTAAAAAAAAAAAAAAAACATAAAAACAAAAGAACGTCAGTGGGTTGCCATGTAAAACATTTATCTGGTATTCATGCTATCCCATCCTATTTAAATGTCTGTCAAGACTTATATATGGTTTAAATTAATGGCAACTTGACTGTTCTTTAAAAACTGAGTGAGTCATAACAATCGAATTTTATTATTTTGTCACTTTAAAGCACAAATCATGCTTATCACAATTAAAATGCAGATAATTTTCCTGAGGTATGTGCCAACATATGGATATTAGTTACATCCCAGTTGATTCTTTCTGAGTTAGGACTTCATTAAGAGTGACATTTAGGTCTGATGCTCATGTTCACTTCTCAGTCATAGTCCTCAGTGTTCAGATGAGAATTAACACAGACAGAAAAACTGTGTTAACAAACAGTTGCTTGTGACTGTGCTATACTTTCAGATCGGTATCCAACTCACAAATCCTCTTTGTTGCATTTGTGCACTAAGGAAACTGGTCATCAGACTCAAAGCTTGGCCTCATAGGCAAAGGTCTGAACACCAGAAACACACAGGAAGCCAGTGGTAGCAGAGAGTGAGCGCACATCATTTGAATAACCTTATTTTTCTGTCTGTAATCTTCTCTTCGGTAGAAATGAGGATAGTTTCAGTGCCTCCCTGTAGGTATGGTATCTTCCTTTGAAGCTCCCTGAGAGCCAGGAACAAGGAGTTCCTGGTCACAGCACCAAGGTTAGCATCAGCACCAAATAGCAGAGCTGGGTCATTAGAGATCTGTGTAGAAATCTGTAATCCCTGAGGAGTACCGAGCATCCTGAGCTTCTGATTCACCCTTTGCAGGATTAGTCTGATAATATTTTTAATGGGTATCTATTCTATTGCAATGTATAGGAGTGCAGTGACCCTGAAATGTCACCATCTAACATTACATTAATTCACTCCTAATGAAACTAAAGAGGGCTTAGAGAGGTTTGTGACCAAAGGCTGTTCAATAGAATTGCACCTTTCATTAACTGACTTTGGAGAGATGAAATAAAATGAACATTTTGAAATATTTTGTTATTGGATACTCTGATTTTTGAGAGCAGTAAATCCCTCTGGTTCAGACCCTAAATAGGGGCTTCTGATGATTAGGGTATAAAATGAACTGTGAAATCCTATATGCCTAATATCCCTTCCTAATGCAAATCAAATTTGCTACCCTGCCAAGTAGTTTGATCCTTCAGAGCACAGAAACAAGGTAGTGTGCAAGCAAGATCTTACATTTAAAAGATGAAATGTTGGCAGTTTTACAAGATGACCCTTTAATGCTGGACATCCATGTATAAAGGTGAATCAATAGAAAATGAAAACTTACAATAGTCTCATTGTGCTCAAAGGGCAAAAAGAAAACGTATCGTTCACCAGGATGTGCCAAAGAGTAGGAGTAAGATGCACTTTTTATTTTTGGACTGACTTGTATCTAAAAGTCCTAAAATTTGGACGTTCAAATCTTGGAGTAGAGAAACCTATCACAGAAAACTAGCACCACAATATGACAGGTAGTCTATAACAGTAGCAGTCTCTAGGATATTAAAACATCTTTATTTGAGAGATACTGAAGCACTACTTATGGGCGTTTACATAGCTCTTACACTCCCTATGTGTAGTTAGTGAGTGGAGCCATCTTCCTGCAGCTCTACTCTACTACTTAGTTATCTACCGGGGGAAAGAAAAAAAGAAAAACTCAGTGTGATATGAAGTTATTGAATGTGTTTCTTAGTGTGTATTAAAAATAATAATAATAATAATAATAAAAATATGAATTTAATTATGAATTAAAATAAAAACCCTTTTGACCACATTCTAAGATTTGGATGTAAATTGTTACAAACGCGTGATATGACAATCCATAATTGTGATATTTAGCTGAAGACTGCATAGGATCAGTGAGGATTTTTTGTCTAATATTGGTGAAGAGATGGTTCATGTTGGAGATATGAAAACAATGTACAAAAGCAGTTTATCCGTGTAAACATATAGCCCTCAGACTGCTGCAATAGGACAGCAAGACCTATTTTGATCTGGTGAATAAGCCTTGGTCCCATATGCTGAGTTGCTTAGGGAAGCTATATGTTACGTACTTCTCATAATTAAATTTAAATACTACCTGAAATTTGATGCAAAGTAGACCACAATTTAGTGATTAAAACTTCGGTTTACTGACTAGTTGTGACAACCAGAAGACTGCTAAGAGATTGGGAAAAGGGGAGGGGATAGTGTTTAATCAGAACACATGCTAGCAAGGAACACAATTTTAATGATTTTACAAAATCAGTTGTCCAGTACTAGTGACATGTTATTTCAAAATTATTTAAAGGATGGGAGAAAGTTTAGTCATGTGACATCTCTTTCAATGGTCTGTCTTATTTGATATTGCGGGGATTGGATTCACTGGGATACATCCCATTTCCACTGTGATTTGTAAACTAATGTTTTGTTTCTTCAGAAGATACGTTCCAGAACAAGTGCTTGCCATCATTAAGAAGTTGCATCTTGTCCTTGTTTCCCAATTGTTTGATGGTATTAATGGAAGCAAAAAGAACATTCAAGATACCTTCTTGGTACTTCTCTGTAAGTATTCAGGGTTGCTAAGAGTTGCCTCTAGTTGCTAAGAGAATGCCTTTACAGCTGAGAGAAAAATCTGTTTGCATCCCATTCTGAATGGCAGGTTTATAACTTCCAGACTAGCCTGGAGAGGTGTCCCAGAGTTTGAAAATACTCATTGTGATAGTGCCCATGTTCATGAGCAGAGATGAACAACTACTTCTTAAGCATACCTAAAAATACATCATCTTTTCAGACAAAGACAGTCATTGCTCTGTAAGCAGAAAAGGTTTTTTTAAGTGACTCCTTGCTTCATCTCTACTTAGCTGTAAATTGGATTTGCTCATTGATTTTCGTTGTTGTTATTGTGTTGCTTATTTAGTTTATTTTGTGGGTGCTTTTTTTACTGTTTGGTTGGTTTTGTAAAGGGGAAGTATGGGAGAAAATGTATGTTTGGCCTATATGTCTTACTGATGTGTAATCTCCATTAGCTGTTTTCGCTGCGATGGAGTTTTGGTACAAAGGGCATAACGTCATCGACTCTACTTTTGCCCAGACATTTCAGGACCAGTTGACTGCCAGTTTTCCAGAAGAAATGAGGAAATCGTTGTCTATGAACACATTTCTCTTTTATTTTGTGAGTTATTTACAAACCTGACATGTTTTCTTAAGTATTTCTGCAAAATTATCAGACAGCGTTTTGTCAGTAGGTTGTCTGTAGGCAATCCACTGCTAGTAATCAAAATTGAAATTGATTGGGTAAGAGCAATTCTCAGTATAATCTTTCTGATAAAAAAAAAAAAAAAAATCTTAAAGTTAGGAATTTAGGAAAAAATCTCTAATATTTTTCAAAATTTGCTTGACATATGTAGTACTTGTGTGCTGGCCTGTCTGAGAACACAAATAGTTCAAACAGAATCATAGCAGAAGAGTTTCAAATTACGAACAAATATTCATGAATACTTTTTTATTTTTTCAAAGGGCAGTTGGCTGATCTTGCCTAGATGGTGGTTAACTGTCCATCCTCATGGAGGAACAGTACTGAAACCTGCTGATTCTTTTTTCACAGTTCTTGGATACGCAGTTTCACACCTAGAAAAGAAAAATTGTGTGAAGTGTTGTAACTGACATTGTCAGTCAGCAGGAAACCTGAAAAGAGATATTGAGATTGAGCTGTGAAAAGTGACAATAGCAGAGCAGTACATTTTTATGTGATAGATAGAGCTGTAGGGCGCAGGTCATTGCAGCTGCAAGGGGCGATCTTTGTGTTACTGATATCCCCAAGGCTGCAAAGGCTGAGTGCCATGCCTGGAGAGCTGACGGGCAATTTGCTAATGCAGCAATCTAAGTACAAGAAGAGCCAGCATAAATGTGAAGGCCAGAAAACTACACAGAATATACGTATTATACAGATGTATTGTACTCTTCTTTGCTTATTCAAGTAGCATGCAGTGAATATTTAAAAAAAAAAAAAATTGTACACAAATCCAGGAAGTCACAAAGATTTTAAATTGGGAAGTTTTACTGCTGAAAACTAACATTGTTTTATGTTAAACTACTCTTGTTTGATCAATGGCACTGCACAAATTCTACATCTGCATGCTTTCTCTGTTGTTTTTTGTTGGTTTTTTTTTTGTGCCCACTAGACAGTAATCATTAAAAACTTAAGGGGATAAAAAGTACCTTCTCCCAAATGTCTTCTGATTTCAGGAGCAGCACTCAGAGACCTTTTATTTCCTTTGTTGTTCTGTAGCTTTCAAAGTCTGAAAGGTGTACTTTTCCTAAATATTTATAGCTGAACATGTGACTCATCAAGTTTGTATAAAAATGAAATCATAATAGTAGTAACTGTGAATAAAAAGTAAAATCATGTTCAGCTTTAATATGCAATTCAACTGAAATCATGTTGATTTCATTTGATTTCTCCTTACATCTATTCATGTTTGAGGATACATTTGATATATGTTTCGTTTTGTCACCATTAGGATAAAACTTTTTGGCTTTTTTTCCTTTTCAAATTACTTTTCATTTTGAATATTTTAAACTATAGTGTGTAATAGGAGATAATTACATTGCAAACACATCTTGTTGCACTTAAAGCTTAGGTCAGTGTGCAGTATTGCTGCCATTTTCCTTTACAAAAAAATTTAGATATTTTTTGATTGGAAATGAAGATAAATTTGAAAACTTCAGGAACATTTGGGGAAAGAAAAAAATTGTCTGTTTTACTGTCCAGGCTTGTCTGGACCACTTCCACAGATGGCAATGCCAAGAAGTTCATTAGCCTCTTGCTCTGAAAGTATTGTTTCTATGCTGCACTTCAGTCTATGACCTATGATATTCCTGGCATTGCTCACTTCAATTTCTCCCATGCTGAATCTTTTATATTAGTATAGAATTAAGATAATAAGAATAATTGCTCTTTTTTTAATAACACTTCATGTGTTTATGAGCAGTCATACACTCAAGGATTATTTTCTAAATTGCTGTTCGTTTTTGTTGTTCTCTTCTGAGTTCTCCAATTAGTATGTATTTCTTTTTTCATTGTGGTGTTTGTAACAGCATGCAGTGCTCCAACTGACGCTTATCAAGTGAAGTAGAGCAGAATAATTACTTCATTTCTTTTACGCGTGACATTCTTATTAACATGACTCAATACAGAGCATTTGCCTTGTTTTGCCACAGTGTTGCATTGTTGATTCATATTCAAATAATTAGTCACTGTAAACCCACATACTGCTCTGCTGTGTAACTCTGTGCTAGGATGAGCTATCCCACAGCTGTCAACAGGAGCACCCAGGAGCTGCAGTGAGGGTGTTGGGCACTGTACAAAAGAGGGGCAGGTAAATGACTCTTTTTAAGCAGACTGCTGAGCTCTGTACTCATCTGTGACTATTGGTTTACAGTATTATAAGTATATTCCAATTGTAAGTGATTTCAGACTGCTGTCTCCAGTGTATAATACCTCATCATTTGTCATGTTTCTTTTTCAAAAATGAGGATTCGCCCTTCCTTTCCACATACATATTCTCCAGAAGATGTAGTAAGAAGTATTAGAATCATGAAAACTGTCCTTTTCCTGACACAGATATTACTGGAATCATTGTAGCTACAATATAATATTTATTTCTACTTTCCAGTACTACTCCAGAGTCCTAACCAAGGCCATGAGCTCTGCTATTGCAGAAAATGTGAATGCAAGGACTATGGAAATACTGGATATTGGAGAGTTTCTTTCTCTGGAAGACCTGTAGATCATCAGCACTCAAGCTATAACTCGGTTTGGACCTCCTTCATGACTGGATTCTGCTACTCTCTCCCCAGACTAGCTACAGGTACTTTTCAGTTGATAATGTATATCACATAACATAATTTCCTTCAAGTTCAGGCACAGGATTTTGCTGTTTGCTTCCTAGATAACTTTTTAGCCAGGAATGAAGCGATCATGGTGCTCACTGTTCTATTAAGTGTTCAAGAGGAGAACAAATGTCCTCCTACCTAAGAGAGTGTGAAGATTTTTTGTGTGTGTGTGACAATGACCAGCATATAGGAAGAATAGTCCTACAAATGTGATCTGTGCACAGCTTTTTTTCCCAATATGAACCCAAAGAATGACACATTTATGTCTGTTTGGCTTCTAAGAAGTGGCATTAAACCCATCTCATTGCATTGGCTGGCAAGATCCTTGGTAAGGTGACACTGCTGCTCACCCATGTAAATGAACTTCATTTCACCCTAAAAGATCAGTTTAGATTCATTGCTTGAAAAGTAGGAATTTGCATTGAGGTAATGACTTGGACCAGGGTCCCTGCACTCCCAGTGAAAATCCTGAATAGAAAGCTGTTATTGCCTCTTTCCCATCAGTCTGATAAACATTTATTTCTAGAAAAACAAAGCCATTCCAACAAAATAAACTGAACCTACAGGCTTACTATGCGGGAAAATCAGGAAGGGACCATTTTCCTGCGCAGACCTCACACACCTCAGTTGTGGTCTGCTTAGCCAAAGAGGCATTCTCATTCTGTTTTGACTCCTTTCTTCCTTGTTTTTTATGAAGGAAAAAAAAACTTTTTAAAATTAAAATTACTTTTTTTAAAAAAAAAGATCTTTCTGATAATTTCAGTGAGATCTGTACACGTGGAGTTATTTTGCTATTTAAAACACTCAGAAATAACCGGACTTCTCCCCCCCAAATAAAATATTGTCTTAAAAATTGAATGTGTGTGTAGGATATCAAATTTGGATGTCTACACCATTTCTTTCTGCCTTTTCTTCTGAAGAAAGAAGTTGAAATGCCTACAGTACTGTATGAACCCAGGAAATAGTTTGGAAAAAAGTGCAAGCCATCATGCCATAGAATTTTTATCTGGCTATATTACAAGCTGGAATTTCCAAATTGATTTGAGGAAATAAAAGGAGAAATGTCTATTGTGTCATACTTGAAAATGTTAAGTATTTTAGATTCCTTTTGAAGTCCTGAAAATTAAGTACTTCACATCTACAAAATTAACTGGTTTACTAAATATAATGCCAATTATACAGTCTGCAAAGTCTGAATATGCATGTAATAGTAACAAAATTGTACCAAAGCCATGTCAAAAGAACTTGGTTTGTGGCAAATTTGAGTTAGTAGGTACAATGTGTTCTATGATTGGAAAGAAAAATGGCAGACATAGATTCAATGTGTTAGAAAGTAGATGAAGACTTTTCTGAGACCATGAATCCCAATGGAAACGCTGCTGATCTACTGAATATAGAAAGATAGAACCAGATCACGTGCTGATGCAAATGAGCATAGTTTTCTTGACATTGGTGGACCTACAGTGATTGATTCCAGATGAAGTGATGAGATGATTTGGGTGTGCTATGCCCTCTTGAAGGGCTGTTGAGAGATGCTGTGAGATCATTGCTGGGATTGCCTTACCAGAGAAAAATACATAGAGTAATGGTCATCCCTTTTTTTAAAAAAAAAAGTGTGGAAAGGAACAAAGTCATAGCATTTCTCTCTGTGTTGATGGAAAAAGTAGGCTTTGGTGGAAAAAAAGGAAAAAAACTTCTATAGTCAAGATTTTGGAAGGAAGGCAGTAAAGGCAATACTAAGGAAAAGAGAGCACCAGAAAGTTTTACAGCTCCACTGTTCTCACCATTTTCAGAAAAGCTCTGTGTGTATTTACCTTTGCATGTCTTTAGGTGATCACTGAGGTTCAACTCATTGAGTACTCAAGTGTGTTTGCATGGGAGCAGGAGGAAGGATGGAGGATCTAAAGGTATCCTGGTTACAACAGCAACATAACTGAATCAGCTTTAATGGCTGGCTGAAGCTAGCACTGTATCCTGGCATCCAGCATGGGCTGCAACACTGAGTGACAATTCAGGCTACAGCTGGTTTAGGCTGAGTTTTATGGTGTGTGACTAGCAAAGTAGCTAAGCTAGCTCACTGATGCTCTCCCAAATTATTTCTATCTTAACAATACAGGTAGGCCCAAGCATGGAGGCAGTTACCTATTAGTGGTTCAAGAACTATCTAAAATATTTAAACATTTTGAGATGTTCTTCTGGAAATGAAAATAAAAAGCAAACTAGTTCTGGAAGCCTCAAGACATTTGAAGTATATCACTCCTCGTGCAGTATCAAAATCCAAAGAGACAGGAATTTTGAAGACTTATCTATGGACTCAATAAAATCTAAAAACAGATATTTAGTAAGGTGAGTATTTTCCCTAGATCATTAGTTGCAGTACTTAGAGGCACTGCAGAGCTTCGACCATCAAATTCTTTACAGTGAGCTGCAACCTGCTGTAACTACTGCTCTTGCATTTGCCTATCAAAAGAGAAAGTATAAGACTGTTTTCTTTTCATACAAGACTGTTAATGCTGAAACCATTGGCTAGTAAACTACTCAATTAAGGATATATTAACTAGGATACTTTATCTCACTCTTATTTTCGAGAGTCAACAATCCAAGTACAAGGAGACTAATGACTAAAAATTCAGCCTCTTCTGTACAACTGATGGAGTTCTGTTCCTGAGCTACCTCCTCCTCGATTCATTCAGCATGAATGGCAGATTCCTACATCGTGTCAAGTTTCAGATCACCATAGAAACAAACTAGGAGGCAGTTTCATTAATCATTTAGAGCACAAGAAGTCTAGGTCAGTCTGATTGCAGCATATAGAGTATCATCCTAGCGCCACATGGGACTCAGTTGATTTGAATTAAAAAAGATTAAGCTGCCCCTAGGACGCTCAGCATCATCAGTTTAAGTTCTCATGTAACAGTGGTCTCTGGAGCCACATGGATTAGGAGACTGAAGCTATGCATTTATTTTTCAGGGCTCAGTGAAACATTAGATGAGTGCAGGTGTCTGAGGGGAAAAAAGGACAAAGATCACATATAGTTTTTTAGACTTGTTGCTGTTCTTTTGAAACTGGAAACAATAACTCAGTTTTATTTCTCCAGTGACAGTTACCACTCTTTTTTGGCAGTGCAATGGTACATCTGTTACCCAATGTTTACAACTTAGATTTATAACAATTTCATACTATGCACCCTAATTTTAGTGCAGAGCTGCAAGTTGGGCATAGAACAGTTTACATGAATGCTGACTTTTTTTTTTCATGATGGAGTAAAAAATGCACAAAATAAATACTGGTGACATTTTAGTTTTACTTGAATGAAGATTTATTGCTCCCAGGAAGCTTACTTACAGGCAGCTACAAATCAACTTGACTGTGAAATAGCTGTATATGTACACCACAAAATGAGACCCCCCCCTCCCAAAGTACTCACCTTATTTATGGGTCTTTCCAGTACTTCAAAGACCTTTAGTAACTTAGTCCAGGCTGGTTTATTGCTTCATAGAACTAAGACATTTCAAGAGGAAAGTTGTAGGTTACAGTGGGCAGCTGAGAATCCCATGATGCTATATGAACTGTTGATCTAAAGCTTATTATAGCTTCACTTCCTACAGTATAATTCTTAAATCTTTTAAGTTATACAGTGCTGTCTTTAATCCCAAGCTCTAAACCTTAAAGCAGAATTAGCGTTCTGATATCCAGAGTACCATCTGTGAGTAGATATAATTATGCTTTGTTAAAATACAGTTCACTTGCTTGCTCAGGTGGTTCACAACCTATTTCAAATTAGTTATTTGAATTTTCAACAAATGTTTTACATAGAAAAATCTGGGAGCAAAATCCACTGTCCCAGTATTCTTCATGGAGAAAAAAAAAAAATGTATGTGGATAGAGGTATTTCACTCTATGTAAGAACCAGAACACCTCATCCTTTGTGTTTTACCAATTTGCCCTTTCTGTGCCAGTTATCTGGGCTGTGATAGTATCAATGTATCAACGTTGAAGTCTCCTGTTACAGAACACGTCTATAGACTTGAAAATAGTCAATACATTTCCCCCCCCCCATTATGTTGTCATTTTTAAATGTGTTATTCTAGGGATTTCCGGGACAGAAATAACATTATGCTCTGGAAGTATTTTTAGATTTTTCTAGCACTGTGCAAACTGACTGATTATTCCTCTGGGAAGGGGGAACTGAGTATTATCCCCACTTTGCACAAGCGGAAACTGATACGGAATCTCACTAAGCAACTTGCCTCAGGCTGTGAAGGTAAACAGGGACCAACGCTGTGGTGCTCCCATTCTCCTGCCCAGTGCCCCACCCAGACCCTGCTATTTACAGCTTGCTGTCAAATGCCCTTAAGAAAATGCGGAATACAGGAATTAAAGCATGCACATAGAGCCCTGACAGGCAGAAAATATTGTGTTAGCTAATATTTATTGAGTGTCAGCATTATGCCAGTTGCTACACAAACAAAAAAGAAAGCATGGTCCCTATGCCAGAACATATGTATATTCTACTTTGAGTGTTGTCACCCAGCCATTTCCAACCAGGCTGCCTAGCTTTGCTGTCCCTTTCTGGTCCATGAGAGAGCTGAACTCACTAGTGCCAGGGGGAGTAGCTGTGGCAGCCCACCAGCCATGGTGAGAAGATCCAGGCTGTGCATTTGCTGAGTTCTTGCACATCACCTGGGTGAGTGACTGTCACCACACCCACATGGAACTGGACTTTGTAAAAAGAGCCATGGGGTTGAAAAGCAGAGAATTATTTATTTATGCTGAATTATGTCCTCACCCCCCTGGGGAGCATGGGCAGACCTGTGAAGCTCCATTTTTCTTCCAGGCTCCTTCAACCTGGAGGGGGATGCAGTGAGTCTGCAGTGATACAGAAATCCATGTGGGATCCCTGACCTCTTCTGCTGCCCAAAGCCACAAGAGAGGAGATATCTTCTGCATAGCCTGTTTCCAGGTAGGTGTGGCAGTCTTGTTTTCTCATAACCACATAGGAAAACATTTGTCACAACATATAATGCCTACAGCTGGTCTCCAAAACACTTGTTGGCATAAAATTCCAAAAAAAAAAAAAAAAAAAGTTTCACATTCGTTCTGCTATTCAAAGGCAATAAAAAACCATTTCTGACTTGTTACATCAACAGACTTTTCTGTTAACTTCAGTGATTAAAAATGTCAGAACCCTTCCTCATGTGGAGCTGAGTGGAGCTACCAGAACATTACCTGAGCATTCATCTCCAGTATTTCACTGCCGGGCATCACCTATGCCTGACTTGGGCAATTATTCAAAGATGCCGAGGCATCAAAAACGATCTGAATCATTCTGTCGATCTTTTTTTTTCATCCAGCTATTATCCCATAGCTCTGTTTGAATTTGGGTAGCCTGAGGTCAGAAAGAGAAGCGCCATTTTTCTTGTAAAGCAAAAATACTTGACTAAGAAAAAGTGAGCTAATAAAAATGGAAAGGTAAATTTAAAGTCACTATTTAGAGTACAGGAATTTGTCTAATCATATTGCTCTGGAATATTATTACAAGCAATGCATTCATGTTACATGGGAGGAGATACATCTGGGAGAGAAATGATCCATTCTGTTTCTGTGTTCAACATATGGGCATGTATAAAATAGGAAGATCTAAACTCTACAAATGTTCACAGTTTATTGTCTGTGAAGAAATAATGGAATTGCTTGAAAATTTCTGGTGAGAAGTATACGAATTTGAACACAGGTTAACACAGTTCACCCAACTTAATCAGTCTGGGTTACAGAAAATATAGACATGAAACAAATCTTTCTATCCGTATACAAGTCAGTGTAAAATTATTGGTCATTTTTCCACACCTCTCTGCAAGTTGCTGGTAGCAAGCAGAGATTTACTGGAGGAATTAAAGAGGCTTCATTCCTCCCACCACCAGCAGCTGTTCGGCCCTGCAGCCTTCCTGCGTAGGGCAGACTGCACCAATCCTTGGTATGTATGACTCATAGGAAAGTAATAAAACCTTGAGGCTAGAAGAGACCTCAGGAAGGATACCAGCTGATACAGAAGAGTTAGAGCAGCTCATGTAAGATCAGGATACAAGGAGCTGAAAGACACATGCAGGGGAAGCATCTGGGCGAGCTGTCCCAAGTGACAAAATTACTGGGACTCCTGCCCACATGGCCAACCCCTTGCATGGTCTGGAGCATGGCGTAGTGATGGTCACCAGAGCAATTCCTAAAGGGAGTTGTGCAGATAACACATAAAAGCCATATGCAAGAAATGCCAGCCTCTAGACTCAATGTTCAACTATGGATTGACCGAGCAGTTCAGGAAACGCATGGGCTCCACAGGTTTTCCAGGGACTGATTTTTTTTTTCATTGCATCCCAGTAGCTGAGGCCCTGAATCAGAATTCAGAATTCTTCTTTCATTCTCAGTATTTTACCAATTTAATTCATATATTCTTGGATTATGCCCACACTTTGTTATAAATTGTGTCATATGTGTATTTCCATTTTGTTAACATGATGTGCATTTGGGCAGCTGTCATGTCATGCCTGGAATGTGATGAAAACAAGAGGTCCTGACTGCTCACTACTGAGGAGCTCCCAGGGCACTTCTCACAGGAGCAGGGGTGTTAACCCTGATATCCTGGTCAAATTCCAACAAGGCTAATTATATCCCACTTACCTAAAAATCTGCCATGCTTTCCCTGCTTGCTGCAAGGTTTTGCTATGTGAAACAGACTCTCTTCTGATCTTTTTAAACGCTATGGTCTTCCACATCAGATGGGGTTGTATTTAGGGGGTAGCTAAACTTAGTTCTCAGGTTGTTAAATTTATTGTCCAATGCAGGAATGCTGGACATAAACTGCCATTGTTACTAAACTGGATTCAAGGCAGAAATAATGCTGGAAGAAGAGTCTGCGTCACAAGTGTAAGGACAGCTACACGCAAGCAATGGTAATGTCCATAGTAACAGTATCCATTGATTTCCTGTATTTGGCCTTCTGCCTGAAGGACATTATGAGAAGGATCAATGTGCGTGGGGGCTGAACATTGAACAAAACTGTGGGGGAAGAGTGGCACAGGTGACTGCACGCTGGAGGTAAGATCAAGGTGTCCAAGAAGAGACGGAGGGGGCTGTGCTTCTTTCTGAGTCTGTTTCAAGTAGACTACATTATGTTGAGGTTGCTTTTGACAGTGTAGTCATTCAATACCTTATAGTATGTGAGTTTTTCTGAGGCTCTCAGGCCTACTTCTTTCATGTATGTATGAAATGGTACTAAGAGATTATTTTAGCTTTGCAAAGCTGCAGTGGTATCAAACAATGGGAAAAAAATATATATATGTTTATAGTTTTGTCTAAAGAGTAAATTATCAAAGATGACTTTGAAGTTGCAAGATTCTATCTTATTATTTGTTTTTAAAGACAGTGTAGATGTGGTGTGCAATGCAAATGGCCACACAATAATCCCAGTGAGGCTTTTTACTTCTTGTTTAGAAATAAATATTTCCAGAAGGAAAACAAATCATGTAAATGCATTTCTGCCCCTTTATCTACTGGAATCTCATCTATCTCATTATCTTTTTTGTACAAGCTGCCACCAAAATGAACAGATATTACAGATTCATTTAGAATTGCCCAAAGCAGACATAAGAGTGGATACCATTCTTACCGCTGTTTCTTATCTCTGTGCCTGCAAATCAAAGTTGCATCTTTGTCTGCAGAGGTTCCTGCTGATATGTGAGTCAGCAAAGCCACCTCCTTATTGCTCACCTTGTGTGGCAGAGACCTACATTCACAGATTTTCTTCTCCATGATGCACATGCGTGCATATGTACATACACACACACACACATACATATGTATTTATACACACATTGTTTAGATTGTTGGCAGCATAGCAGTAGTGTTACCTAGAAGAATTATTTCAGATTGCTTCAAATTTTTAGTTGAATAGATGACAGTAGAATATGTATTTGATAAATTAACTGTGAAGTTGTTCACACACAAGTATATGCACTTGAAGCTATTCTTGTTTTTTGAAGACAGGTGCCTTTAGCACAACTAGCAACCTTCAAAAATGAGAATAAGGGCACAGAGTCTTAAAAGCCTCTTCCTGTCTACTGTGTCTCCCCGGACAGGCTGAGGCCACATTAATGGAAAAGCACAGAGTGAACAAGATGACCTAGCAGATGCTACCAGGATGTACTGTACTTTTCCTAAGATAAATAAAGCCTGCTGTCTTCAGCAGTATCAGCAAACCCCACATATTCTTTAGAGTGTAATAAAATATAGTATTATAGAGTTCCAAATTGCTCTGTAAGTCCATATTCTGTTCAATGTTATTAGTTCTCCTTATTCTGTTTAACATACCTAAATATTAATTACATGACTATGGCATAAAATATCCATCTATCTAGCTCATTTTTACTGTCTTAAATGGGAGCTTCGAATAAAACAACAGCATACAAAGTAAACTCTGAACTATTGCAATTTAGGACTTCAGATTTCAGACTTATAAGCTGCTTTTAACCAAAAGTCCAAAAGACTTTGAGTTCCTGTAAAAAACTACAGCAACAAAAAGGCACTCAATTTCTGCAAGGACTCACCGATTTATCATCTCAGAACTATAAAAGAGCTGGGAAAAAGAAACTCT